AATGAAAACCGGTGTACTGGAGTTTGGAGTTTAAAACTAAAAATGTATTTAAAATAAACCTGTTGTGTCAATTTAGCTTTTATTTACTTCAAACTGGTTTGAGGTCATATACTGTACAAGTCTATGGGAAAGCAAAGCCCGCTTGAAGGAGGTCAAATGCAGATCACAAGGAGGTCAACCACAATTTAAACGCACCCATCCGTAAATACTGAATGATCTCTGAAGCATCTCAAACTGATGCCATTGACACAAGACCAAAGCCCATCAACACAGACCCTAAAGAGGTTAAATGTCATCAAGAATTATAAGTAGGCACCAACAAGATGCACATTCAGTGCACAGTATTATACATATCTCAGCCTTATGAGAACAAATTAACCACTTCACCTCTCACATCTGTCCACCCCCTCTGGACCAGAGCAATTTTTACGATTTTACTATGGACCTGTTTATTTGGCGATGACTTTGTCATTAATTAAGATAACACGATGATACATCTTTTTTAAGGACAAATACAGCTTCTTTTTGTGATTATTGTCTTGCAACAATTACTGTATTTTTTTTCAATCCTTAGACAATTAAATGTAACAGAACCAAACAAGACACACTTTTTTCTTATACTTTAGCAGTGTTAGTTTAAAAATAAATAGTTACTGCAAATAAAACTGTGCATTTTGTTCTGTATTTTTGTCCAATTTAAAGTGGCACAAATTATGATTCTGGTACAAAGAATTGCAAAGTTATTTACAAAAGAAAAAAAGTGAGTTTTTTTCAGTTTTGCACTTTTTAAATTTCTATATGTTAAATGTGTAAAATATTCACAAACAAAAACAAAAAAAGTTTAAATGTTAATGGTTAATAAATTAGAAATTAAAAAACAAATCAGTAGGAAAATAATCATTGAAGGGAGGAGAATAAGAAGTTAAATAGAGCGGATTAGAGTAAACTAAAGGCTGATAAGGCATTAAACAGAGAAACATTTTATTTAAAAAACAGACAAAAAATTGTTTTACTTGTCAGATTGCTTTAACTGACATAATCTGCAGATCTAAATTCAACTCTTTGATCTGCAGATGAATAAACAGAATGTTCCCAAAGTAACAATATGTTAACATTGTATTTTTCTGTAGAGTTTGAACAAGTATTATTTGTAAGCAATGCCCGACTGCTTTTTTTTTCAACATTTGAAAGCTGCAGACCTTTTCTGTGCACACATTAACCCAGCTTTGATTAATCAGAGCCCAATTGCCGTATACTGGGAAGTGGGAGCAGGGTAAAAGGAATGAACATGCTACACACGTCTAATGTACAGTAGAATGATGACCTTTTTTTGGTCACGTGTAACATGCCCAAAGTCTGGAACTAGTTAAGGTCCAACCAACCAACCCAATGCAGACATCCCCAAACCAAGCCTTCTTGTGCTGAGTGCATAGGCCATGTTAGATTTCTCTTGGTTGTCTGCTATTGTTATCTCTGATTAGAAGCCAGCTCTGGTGATGTACACAGAAACTCCTACACCCCTCTGCATAACCAACAGAAAAAACATTCATCCTACCCTGCAATCTTTTGTGAGGAACATGGTTCTGTTTCCAGATTTTGCAGACATAGGCAGCTGCTTTTAAATATCTGTGGGAGGTTTTAGCATCATGTAGTAAATAATGAGATTCGTTGAGCTTAAAATGGAGCTCCACCCAAAAAGTGAAGCTCCCCTTGTTTGCACTCTCCCCCCCATCCCACCACATTTGGCACCTTTTCTAGGGGGGGGGGGGGGCAGTGGGTATCTGCTTGTGTCAGGTACCCACTTCCACTTCCGGCTCAGTTCACCGGACATCCACCCCCCCTACTTCCCCCCGCAGTCTTCTGGAACACTTCACAGGTCCCAGAAGACTACAGGACCAATCACAGGGTGCAGCACGACCAGTGCATGCGCAGTAGGAGACCAGCTGTGAAGCTACAAGGTTTCACTTCCAGTTTCTCTTACTTGCAATGCCAGCGCCGGGAACACGGAGGCTAGTGAAGAACTAGCCCGGGTGACGATGGACCCCTGGACAGGTAAGTGTTCTCCCCTCCACACTGTAACAGAAGTACTGCAACAGGGTGGCACGACTGTGCAAAATCATGTATATATACTGTACATAATTTGCATTTCCAGGTAGGGGGCGCGCGTGCCACCTTACTCGCGCCACCATTGGTGGCTACAAATGGCAATCACTGGGTCCCAGCCGGAGATTGCCCGCTGGCACCTGGTGATCATCGAGTAACACTGACATGGAAGAGACCTGTGTGTAAACAATACAGGTCTCTCTCCTGCCAGCAGTAACATGCTGCTGTGTATTTCTCTGCACATCAGAGAAATACACAGCAGCATGTTTCCCTAGTAAAACACACACAGCACATGAATGATTTAAAACAACACACAGTTAACCCTTTGATCATCCCAGATGTTAACCTCTTCCTGCCCAGTGTCATTAGTACAGTGTCAGTGCTTTTTTTTAGCACTGATCACTGTATTAGTGTCACTGGGGATGTCAGTAGCTATTAGTCAGTTCTCCCCCCAGTGTCAGAATGCCTGCTGCAGTCCCGCAGTCCTGCTATAAGTCGCTGATTGCCGTCATTACTAGTAAGAAAAAAAAACATTCCAGTATATATACTGCCATTTGTAGATACTATAACTTTCACATAAAGACATGTAGCAGAATACATTTTGGCATGAATTTATGACGAAATTTGATTTTTTACATTTTTTTACTGGATATGTTTTATGGCAAAAAATCAAAAATATTGTTTTTTTTCCAAATTTCTGTTTTTTTGTTTATATAGCTAAAAAAAACAATAATGCAGAGGCGATCAAATACCACCGAAAGAAATTTCTATTTGTGTGGAAAACAATTAAATAAATGTAATTTATTTACAGCGTTGCATGACTGCGTAATTGTCACTTAAAGTAACACAGTGCCATATTGCAAACAATGGCCTGGTCAGGAAGGCCCTCTGGAGGACAAGTGGTTAAAAGTCACCAGCTACAGTATTTGTAGCTGCTGACTTTTTGATTTTTTGGGGGGAGCCTGGAAGGCCATTTTAAAGCCCAAAAGGGGAAGTTCCGCTTTAAAGACTGGTCCCCCGCTCCCCTTTAAGGATTGGCACCTTTGGGGGGCGGGTACCCGAATTTGACAGGTACTCGCTCCCACTTCCGCTCTGATCGCCAAGGCGATCGGAAGTGGAAGCTGTCCTCCCTTGCTCCCTCCCCATAGTCTTTCGGGACATGTGACAGTTCCAGAAGACTACAGGACCATTCAGGAAGTGCAGCGCTACTTGCGCATGCGCAGTGGGCACCCGGCAGTGAAGTCGCAAGCTGTCACAGCCGGGTGCCCACACTGAAGATGCCGGTGCCCAGGGAGAGAAGACGGACGATAAAACGGGCTGCGGGGGACACACCACGGGATCGTGGGACAGGTGAGTATGTGTTTTTTAAAAGTCAGCAGCTACAGTTTTTGTAGCTGCTGGCTTTTATTTTTTGACAGGGTGAGTGGAACTCCGCTTTAAGCTTCACTTTTTCTTAGGCTTCCTAATGGTCAAGTTTACCTAATGGTCAAACCTTCAACTAATGGTCAAAGTTTGCCATTAGTACAACCCTTCTGAGACAATATGAAAAAAAATATGTTCAGCATCCATCTGTAATGCTATCCCCATCATTCTGAAAGATTTGTGGGTTCTGAGGAAGTCTATTGTAGGGCCACAGTCTCTTTAGCATAAAAGTATAAAAGGTGAATACTTTGCTAAGCCCAATTCAATATCTTCCAGCACACCCAAGATATCTTTTAAGCCTCGTTCACATGTATAGCAGAGCGATCCGAATTCAGATCAATCTTCAGAGGGAAAAGCACGTGTGACTGAGCCTGTTGGTATATATACTGGGGAACTGAATTAAATATCCTTTTTCCATATTACAATGATACAGTATCGCAATTAGCAAAATAGATATATCAGTACATTTGCAAGTCTAGAAGAATACATTCCTGGCATGTCAAAATACAAAATAATGCCATTGGGAGAAGTATTTCTTCCACCCCAGTGATCACTTGGACTGTACATTGTAACATTTTATTAGTTCAGAAGGTGAGAAAGAGCATCAAGGGCCTGACTTAGGCAAGTCATGTGTACACACAGCCAAGATGATAAAGGCTATGCTCAGCTATGGACAGGCATATTAGTCCAGTAAGGCCTTTTTCTCATAGGCATACTATGGTGTACACTAGTGCTAGGGTCATGTTTGCCTTCCTGGGGGTGCACAGTTGTTCCGCGCATCCCTGTTCAGGCGGTCGTATTCATTTGGATGGGTCCCCCCATCCTCTGTAACTCTCTACCCCAATCTATCAGACTATCGCCTGCTCTGCTCACTTTTAGGTGATCTCTGAAAAGCTATCTCTTCAGGGAAGTCTATCCTGCCTTCAGCTAATAATGGAATCTTTTATTCCTCCTACCAGTCCATCCTCCACAGTTATTACCTTTTGTACCACCAGCCCCTCCCTCCTAGATCGTAAGCTCAGAGGATCAGGGCCCTCCTATCCCTCTTGTATTGAACTGTATTGTTGCTGTATTGTTTCCCGTTATATTGTAAAGCGCTTAGCAAACTGTTGGCGCTATAAAAATCCTGTATAATAATAATAAGAATTTCAGTTATGGAGCAGCAGTTACATGATCACTGCTTCCTATTTAACACCTGTGTGGGTGCGGGTGCATTGCCCTGCTTTCACATGGCTGTTAAATTGGCAGCAGCGGCTGTGTCCATGGGGCTATTGCACCACAGTTGGTATGAATGGGACGGCCTGCAGGGTGATGCTTAGAACACCTGTGCAGCCCTGTGTGGGCAAACACGGCCTTTGCCGCGGGCATATGCAATAGTAAGCTCATGTGAATGAGGTCTGCATAGATACTGACCCTGGATAATACCCAAAGAGAGATGGCATTGGCCTTCAGGATCAGGGGTGGACTGACAACTCATGGGGCCCCCGGGCAATAGGGGATCATGGGGCCCCTGTGTCCTTGCCAAACTCATAGAAGCCTATGAAAAAGGTACCAGGGGCATCTCATGGGGCCCCCTACTGGCCCCGGGCCCTCGGGCAGTGCCCGAGTTTCCAAATGGTCAGTCCGCCCCTGTTCAGGATAGAAAAGAAGATAAAGGCAATGTCAGGAGGAATAATTCAATCTCTTCACAATGTAATAAATGTGTGTACCAAAAAAAGAAACAAGAAAGAGTCACAGACACCAGAACAGCTACCATTCAAAAATAATTGATAAAAATGTATAAATTACTTTTTTATAAAAGTATAGATAAAAAGGAAGAAAGATATAAATCAGTGTCCACTGAACCCAATCCAACCCCCTCCATAAACCCCCACCCCCTGCCCTGGCGCACCCATCAGCTGCCAATCCGTTACCCTTCCATCCAACCAGGGGCGGACTGACAACTCATGGGGCCCCTGGGCAATAGGAGACCATGGGGCCCGTGTCCTTGCCCATACTCAAAAAAGCCAATAAAAAAGGTACCAGGGGCATTTCATGGGGCCCCCTACTGACCCCAGGCCCTCGGGCAGTGCCCGAGTGCTCGAATGGTCAGTCCGCCCCTGCACCCAACCATCCATACATCCGCTGTGTGGCACTTCCAGTGCTGTTACTGATAGATGAGGTAGCTTTTCCTCTGCTGCAGCATAGGTATACACCTAAAGAGCTTCAACACTGCCATGCAGGAGACATGGGGGAGGGAAGGGGCAGAGCCCCAGTTTTTGGTTACCCCTAGGTGTAGGGTATTCTGATTTGGTATACAATTGTGTTTTCTGCTTCAATCAGTGGCTGTTTTTAGTGGAGAGTTTTTGAGTGATTTTACTCCACACATTGTGGTATCATTGGCCTTTTGACCCAGATTCTCTTGGTTTGAAAAGGTTGCTGCCATTGTGCATTTATTACATCTCTTGGTGGGATAAAGGGGGGATCTTGGCTTGTGGGAGGGTACAGGAGCAGCAGTGGGTAGGTGCTTCATGGAGGGGGTTGGATTGGGTTCGGTGGGCACTGATTTATATTTTTCGCTTTATAATTTATTTTTTTTATTTATTTCAGGTACTTATATAGCGCTGTCAATTTACACAGCACTTTCCATGTATATATTGTACATTTACATCAGTCCCTAAACGTCAAGGAGTGTACAATCTAAAGTTCCCGGCTTACATTCATACATAGACATACTAGGGCCAATTTAGACAGGATCCAATTAACCTACCAGCATATCTTTGGAGTGTGGGAGAAACCCACGCAGGTACAGAGAGAACATGCAAACTCCAGGCAGGTGGTGCCGTGGTTGGGATTCAAACCAACGCCCCTAGTACTGCCAGGCAGTTTACCCACCATGCTGCTCATTTTTCATTTATACTTTTTGCTATGATATTTTATAATATGTTAATAAAATTTTTTGGACAGTAGCTGTTGTGGTGTCCATGACTTTTTCTTGTTTCTTTTTTTTGGTACATATGTTTTTGGTGACACTCATCCACTTACATTGTGGCACTGCCACATGCTTTATTGGTGGAATTCCCTACATTCATCATTTATTCTTTTGTAATAAATGTGTGTCACTGCTATACTTACACATTACCTAATACACATTTTCCTAATATTAAATATAAGATAGAATAAATCTGATGATAGGTCTGTTTTAATTTTCCTTAGCAATCACATAAACATTTTTATATTCCTGTAAATTCTGAAGAAAAGAGACCACATTACTGTTCACTCCCCTATTAGAATAGTGGCGTACCCGTTTCAGAAATTGGGACAGTTGGGACTTGTGCCATATGGAGTCTTTTGAATTTTCTGGTACTAAGAAAAGCACTGAAGTATAAGACATGAATTGCTAGAAGCCTGATTTATTTCCCTAGCTGTGGCTGAAATGAAGCTAAATATTGTTTCAGATCACAAATAAAAGTGTGTGATGAGGCGAGCAGCTGTGGTTGAGAGAAGAGTGGAGGATACACTCGGGGTAAAGTCTGCAAATTAGTGAAAGTAAACTTTTAGGTTAAATGAAAAATTTTGAATGGCATTTTTCTACATAATTGGAGCCAAAAGAAGTAAGAGAATTTTATGTTGTCAGCTGTCATATTGTACTAGAGAAGTTCTCACAGATCTATAACTTATAAGGAATACAAATAATTCCTCCCTTTATAACAATATTCTAACTTTTAATTAGACTGGAGTGCTATTTAGGCCTCAATCACATGGGTGTACTTAAGGGTACACCCGTGCGGAGGGCAGTGTTTACCTGCATGAGATGTACAGGTGTTCTGTGCATCCATGTGCAGGCAGTCCCATTCATGCCAATGGGTCACAGCCACTGCTCCCAATTTGACATCTGTGTGGGTACTGGTTTGTGTAGATGCATGTCTCCGAACACAGACAGTGTGAGTTTGTGGGCCTGTTCCTGCAACCACACAGATGTAAAATTAGGAACAGTGACAGCCACTTCATCCCAATTGACATGAATGGGACTGCCTTTACACAGATGCACATATAGGTGAGACTGGGCACATGGTACCTGCTGGGGAGAGAGTGTACACGGGGTTTGCAGAGAGCTGAATTAACAAGAAAGTTCCAGTGAGGTGGTACAAAATCTACTTAACACAACCAAGATGGTGGGCAGCACAAAGAGCAGTGCATTTATCACTCAGAGCAACTGATGATGCCAACAACAATTGTCAGAGGGGGTGGTCAGGATGCAATCTTTCAACAAGGCACTGAATGCGGAAAGGATCCTTTTGGGATACTGGTGACCAGTCTCCAGTCTGTCGCTCCTCCTTTGGGACCTTTATCTGTGCTAGGCAGGCTGTCGCTAACCAGCGGGTTCTTGTCCCTGACCTAGCCATTACTCAGAATGTGCACCAACTGAAAGGAGCCAGTGCTATTTATTAGCACTGCCCACACTAAAGATGGCTGCGTTTATCATCCAGGGCAGCAGTAACCAGTCTCTATTCTGTTGCTCCTCCTCTGCAACCTTTCCCTATGCTAGGCAGACTGTCCCTAACCAGCAGGTTCCTGTCCCTGACCTAGTCTTTACGCAGAATGCACACCAACTGAAGGGAGCCAGTGCTATTTGTTAGCACTGCCCCCACTAAGGATGGCTGTGGTGGTCATCCAGGGCAGCAGCATCTAATCATGATGACACCTACAGAAGCTTCAGAGGAACATGAGTTCCCCCTTATCTTCCGCTCTCTCTGCATGGCAGCTGCCCAGCAGTGCAACCTGTGCAGGGAGGCCAAACTATACCTTCCTACTCTCAAGAGACCCTGTGCATTCCGTGCGGGCAAAAAACACGGCCCTTCAAACAGGTGAATGCTTAAGTACAACCCAGGGGCGGACTGACCATTTGGAAACTCGGGCACTGCCCGAGGGCCCGGGGTCAGTAGGGGGCCCCATGAGATGCCCCTGGTACCTTTTTCATAGGCTTTTTTGAGTTAGGGCAAGGACACAGGGGCCCCATGATCCCCTATTGCCCTGGGGCCCCATGAGTTGTCAGTCCACCCCTGGTACAACCATATGAATGAGGCCTACTGTTGGGTCCACACCTAAAATTGCAAAGAAACTGCGTTCCTGTGCCATTCCTGTACGGCTCAAATAGGCTGAAATCGCACTGGATCACATAAAAGTAGGTGCACTGTGTTTGTGATCTGACGTTGGGGTGTTGTTAGAAATATATTGACATCTGCAGCGGATTGTACACCCATTTTTAACACTATGCAGGAAACACGCATAGGACGCAGGTTTCCAGCACCATGTTCTGGTGTTAATAAGTCCTTAAATTTGCACTTATGGTAAACTGCTAAATACACACAGGCTTATAACCTCCCAAAGTATTTGTATTTCTGTCCATTCAGTCCTGAGATTTACACAACTCTGGCCCCTAGCACAGCTCTGTCTAGTAGGGAAGGGTTCGTGATCCTTCTCTGCTAAAGTTTCACGTAAAGGTCCCCTCCCCACCCCCACCTTGTTACTGGACACTGAAAGAAGATGCATTACACTGATGAGCTCACCTCTCTGTCCCTCTGCTCTCTGTTTCCTTTAGCACACTTCTTGTACTGCAGCAAACCTGCTTGGCTTCTTGTGTTGCTTCCCTCTCCCCCTCTCTGATCTTTGCTGTACAGTAGGCTGCACCTGGGCCATTGTAAAATAACAGCCGAGTGGGATCCCTATTGTTCTGGGAGAATGTCAAATGATGTCCTCCCCAGAACATGCCTCACTGGCCCACTGGGACACAGCGGATGGCTGATCAGTGTACCATCTCACTGCTGGTACCATGTGATTGTTGTGACCAATCACAGTAGATTACATGATAATTGTAAGCAATAAATGGCTTGTCATTGTGTAAAATTGTGTTGCTAGCTTGTGATTGGTCACAGTGCTCACATGGTACAGACAGAGCCAATCACAGCCCATCTATATCATATGATTAGCTGTGGCCAACCACAGCTAATCACAACAATACACACTGAATTAATCTATTTCATTTAGTAAAAATGCTTGCATATAGCAGTGAAATTCACTTCTATAAGCTATCATAGTGTGTAAAAAAAACAAAATCCTGATCACCTCCCCAGAGTAGTACAGAGTTACTATGGTAACACTGTATTGCTCTGGTCACAGTATAATAGTATATATATATTTCTTTTTTTTATTTGCATACTGTCACCAGTCACCATCCCTACTCACCACCATACCAGTTGTATGATGATGCTGTACTACACTGGTGACAGTACATATAAAAAAGTGAGAAAAAAATGTCTTTATATTTTCCAAAAAATTGTGCCAACAAATCACAACTTCACGTCATGCCTCTTACTAAATACCATAGACTGTCTAACTTCCAAAAAAGGGTCTTTTGGGGGATATTTGTACTGTTCTGGCACTTGAGAGCCTCAAGAAATGAGGCCGTCAGTACATTAGGATTGATCATTTGTCAAATATATATATATATATTATAATTTGTGGACTCTATAACTTTCCTATAGACTGAATATTATACACTAATTTGG